GGTCGACGGGAGAGGGGGGGGGGAGGAGGCAAGGGAGAAGGGGGGCAGTACGTCAAAGTGGGGTCGGGACGTGCTCCGGTATCCGAAGGACCCTTCAGGCCAGCCAAGCAGAAGAGGTGTGCGGGCCGGGGAGGGGCGGAAGATGCCACCTGACGCAAATTGCGAGACTTTCACTGGGGGGGGGGGGGGGGGGGGGGGGGGGGGGGGGGGGGGGGGGGGGGGGGGGGGGGGCGGATGCGGGGTGCGAGTGCGGATGCCCGACAAGAAGGTCGGCTATCTGCACAAGTAAAAAAATTAAATAAAACTAACGGTCCAGAACATGGCACTCTGGCGAGGTCAGCATTTTCTCCCATCCGCTGAAACGTCCTCTCGCTCCCGGGCGGGCATGCCGAGTTCTGGCACGGGAGCCGGGCCATTTTTCCGTCCCCCATACTTGGGGCTCCCTAGGTTGGATGCTCTTTTTTTTTTATGCGCGCTCCCTCTCGGCCTCCCTTCGCGGCGCGACCTTGTCCTGCCTCCGTGGCAGCCCCCTTGTGTTCCTATATTTTTCCTCCTCTCTCCCTTTCTGCCCTATCTGGCACCCTCGTAAATATGTGCTCTTGCGTACACGCACAGGTGTACATGCGTACACGCACAGGTGTACATGCGTACACGCACAGGTGTACATGCGTACACGCACAAGTGCACATCCACACACCCACACACAGATACAGCTGAGGTCCCGCGAACACATACACGCCCATCCACCACCAAGAAAGCGGAGACCGTGGGAGGACGTTCTATTATTGGGGCCGACCCCTTCCGGCTGGCAGAGAGAAAGGGGAGGGAAGGGGGGAAGCTAAAAGCAAAGAAGAAAAGAGAGAAAGAAGGAAAAGGGAGGAGGACAGGCCAGACGGCAGGATGCCAGTCCGAGGAAAATGCCCCCACCGATCATTCGCCTGTCCTTCACGACCAGGAGCGCAATTCATTCCAGCCCGAGCGGCAGCCGAACGTCGAAATAGCTACGGGGTTTTGTACGCGACGTAATGGGCAGCGAGTGAGCACAAGGCGAGGCGCCAACGAACGAACAAACAAACAGGCAGGCCTCGAAACCGGCAATGGCAAGGTACGCACAAGACAAGGACAAAGAAGATGAGAGGAATGAAGCTGACCGCGATACCAATCCAAGAAACGATGTTGGTGATGCGGATGATTGCGTCATACGACCGGGGGCTGCAAGGGGGAAAGAGTCGGGCAGGCGGACCGGAGAGAGCCAGGCCATAAAGTGGATGTGTGTGGATGTGTGGATGTGTGTGTGTGTGTGTGGGGGGGGGGGTGTTAGTGAACGAGAACAGGAAGAATGCCGCAAGAGCGGAGAGTAGGGGGGTGCTGCTGTGCCCGGCTGCCACGCACTTCTCCACAAAGTACTCAAACTCGACCGGGAAGTTGTAGACATCCACAAAGTTGGCCGTGAAGGTGGCGATGCGCTCATCCATCGGCTCGCCCTTGGGAGGGAAGGGGTTATTCGGATCAGGCAACTGGGTGGGATCCGGCGACACGGCAGCCGAGATGAGGAACTTGCCAATGTGCCGGGGCACGTCATGACTGTCCCGATGTATGCGCCAGCCGCGAGAAGCAGCGAGAGCAAGGAGGGGAGCCCGGGTGTGAGTGTCCAAGTGAAGGGAGAAAGAGGTCGAGAGAAGGAGGGACGTTGACGTACGCGGGGACAACAATCCGAAGGGTAGCAGCGCGAGTCAGCACACAGTCGTTGGCGCCCGGCAGACAGGCAGCCTGAGTGCTGGGCGGAGGGGAGGTGGCAAGCATCGTCGCGGCTGTCGGCGGGGTCGGAGTCGGCGGGGTCGGAGTCGGGGTGTCTGGCGAGTGAAGATCCGACTTGTGGACAATGCACCGGTAGCTGTGGCGAGCACACGCGCGCATGTGAGGGGGGGGGGGGGGAATGTGAGAAGGGGTCCAATACACATGGACACATGTACGTGGAGGAAAAAAAAGGTGAGAAAAGAGCAAAGACCACGCACTACTCGCCCAATGGCTGGCAATAGCGCAGACCGAAGAGGTGGAAGATGATCGGGCTGCAGGTGGCCGCCTCCCCGGACAGGAGAGCCACAGGGTCGGCCTTTTGGTTCGGGCACTCGATTTGTTCGATCTTAAGGAAGACCGCCGCCGCGCAAGTGAGAGAGGCATCCGGGCACTCTCTGTGTGGGGGAAAGGGCGAAGGGAAGCCCACGGTGAGTGCAAGCCGGACGAGGGGGATTAGCAGAAGGGCCAAGGAGGAAGCAAGGATGGGAGTCGGAGGGGGGGGGGGGGCGCGCACTGCTGAGGGAAGGCATTGAAGGGGATGCCCACCGCGTGAATGATCAGCGGCATGTCGGTGATATGGTAAAGGGGCTTCTTTAGCTCCTCGGAGATGTGGAAGTCCGCCCAGGCAAGGTCCTGGCTCGGAGGAGGACTCCCGGAGGAAGAGGAGGAGGCCGAGTCCGAAGTTGAAGTGGACACCGAGCCCGAGGTTGAGGTGGACATCGAGCCCGAGGTTGAGGTGGACATCGAGCCCGAGGTTGAGGTGGACATCGAGCCCGAAGTCGAGGTGGAGACGGACCCGGACGAAGAGGCCGGAGCCGAGCCCGAAGAAGAGCCCGGCGAGGAAGCCGGAGCCGAAGATGAGGCCGATGAATCGGCGGGGATGGAGCCGGAATCAGGCCCCGAGGGGGCATCCGGCGAGGAGGCAGAAGTCGAGCCCGAGAAGGCAGCCGTGACTGGGCCAATCATTGCGGCCATTGTCGCCAGTGCAAGCAACAGAAGGATGCCCATGACGCTAGCGGCCCGATGGGGGCGCGGGCCAGCTCCCGGCGATACCGGTGACCGGCGACCCATGGCGGACCGGGAGGGAAAAGTCAAGTGTGGGGGAGGGGAAGGAGCAAGCGGCCTGTGGAGGAGGAGGGGAGAGGGAGAGG